TATTTAAAAGTTAACAAGTATGTTATTTTTGAAATCTTCAGTTAGAATTTGATCACAGAAAATCTATCAATTGTTCTTTTTCTTCACAAAATTTCAGGTATATTTGAACAAAATGAATTTCTAGTCCACTTTTCTTTTTTACAATCCTCAGAAAATACATGTTGAAATTATTCATCAATGAAAAATAATTATCTCTAATGTCGGATGCCAATTCTTCTTTTATTTCCAAATTATTTTCAGTTAGAAAACTTTCTAAAAGTGGTAAAAAGCTTAAAATATTATTATTCAGTTCTTTGAATATTAGCTCGAGTTTTTTTTATCATTATATTCTTTTTATCACTAATGGTAAACAAATTAGCCCTTTTTCCTTTTAATTCTAAATTAAATTCATTTAACTTTCCAAAAATATCAGCTGAATATGCTAAATGCGCCAACCATAATTCACTAAATGAGCATTTTTGCAATTCAAATTTTGAATCACAGAAGAAAATTTGAATTTCTGCTCGATGTTCAAAAAGACGATTTAAAACTTTGTCTCTGGATACTTTGGAATGTAACGAAGGCATTGTTATGAAACCACGAGCTGATAGACAGAGGGCGCTGACTAACAGCGCTCGAGCAATGCAGATGTTTTTGAGATAATAAACAGTTGAGAACTGATTACGGAAAAAATCATCCCATGTAAAAACAAAATGCAGAACTGTAACAAAATTATTAATGATGTATATATTGTAAATAGACTGTAATAAAGTTTGTTCTAATAGCTTCACATTATTGGATTTATGAAGATCTACCTGGCAGTCAGATTGAACGTAAGTACAAAGTAAATTCGATTTATTAATTTGATATTTTGTATTTTTACGTAACGTAACAAAATGGCGTCCGTGACAGGATGCCAGGTAGCTTTAATTCAAAATTTATTACAGTGAAATAGAGACTTTTGAGATTTTTATTTTAAATAGAGAGTATTACTGTTAAAATTTGAATGATTGATTCTATAATGAATATTTGTTGAACTTTGGATTATTTATTAAGAATTTGATTTACGAACAGTAATAACACTCACTACTTTTGATTTCAATTATGGAAGAACTTAAACGATTTAGAGGTTGTTTAAGAACAAATTTTACTAAGACTGCGAATAATTTAGATGAACTTTTAAAGGTCCATACATTAGATTTAGATAAAATTACAGTTCTTTTTGCTCAACTTGAAGATAAATGGCAAAAGATAAATACTTTGGATAAACAGGTATTAGTTCTCAACTGTTTATTTTTATCTAAAAAACATCTGCATTGCTCGAGCGCTGTTAGTCAGCGCCCTCTGTCTATCAGCTCGTGGTTTTGTAACAATCTCCCTACCTTGAGTACAATGGAATTGTACTCAACATCACAGAACAAGTCTCCTTGGCTTATTTATTATTCACCCACTCCTGGAAATAACTGGTGGAGATTTCAGGTCTGATTCAATTCTTCTATCCGGAAGAGACCGCAAAACCGTCATTTCGTTTGCTTGTTCACCCATTTCTAAAGGATAAATATTTTGCACGGGTCTTACTATATCACCATTCCTTGTTTTTACTTGAATAACACAAACATGTCCATCCTTTCCTGGATACAGCTTAATTACTCTTCCTAGCTGCCAATCAATCCGTTTACTCTTTTCCCTCCCAACCAAAACTATTTCTCCTAATTTCACTTGTTCCTTGATTTTACCGACTTTCTTAGAATTTTTAAGTTGTCCTAAGTATTCAGCTCTGAATCTTTTTCTTAAATCTTCTCTGAGTTTCTGACGATACTGCTAACACTTATTCAGCTCTGTTCCGTTTATGTGATCAAATTCAATTGTAGAACTTTCTACATTGTCCCTTAAAAACATATTTGGATTTAAAGGCATTAAATTTTTAATGTCTTCCGATATGTATGTCAAAGGACGGGAATTGACAACATTTTCAACTTCATATAACACAGTGAGTAATTCTTCGTAATCTAGGCTTGCCCTGCCTAAAAATACTCTTCAACATGTCCTTTATAATTCTAATCAGTCTTTCCCACCATGCCAATGTAGGAGGATTAAATTTCCATTTAATTTTTTTAATCGTGGCTTTTCCCTCCAATTAATTTTCTGGAAAGGTCATTAGTTCCCATAAAGTTAGTATCATTGTCTGAATATATAATACTTGGTCTTCCTCTCCGAGCTATGAATTTTCTCCGGCTTCGCATAAATGCTTCTGTGGTTAGAGTAGTAACAATTTCAATGTGTATTGCCCGATAAACGGCACATGTAAATATAACTATCCATGTCTTCTTCTGGCCTTGAAGGTATAAAGGTCCAGCCAAATCGACACCCGTAATCTGGAAAACTGCAATCTGTTACTTTCTCCTCTGGTAATGGTATGGGGTTTACTCAATATACATATACACAAAGTAAATTTCACAAAATGAATTCAATACCAACAATATCTTAGAGAAAACTTCAGGCAGAGGTTTAGAAGAGTTCCTTGGATAACTACTGCTTAAACAATCTTCAAAACTTCCAGAGCAGACAATAAAAATGGGTGATATTGTGTCTTAATTGAAAATATCAATCGAAAATATGCATTTTGTCCGCTGGGGCGTGTAATTCACATTTACCCTGATAAAGACATTAGATTCGTGTATTTGAAAACTACTCATGGAAAAATACTCAGACCTGTGCAATATATCTATAGTTTAGAAATTCAAGCTTCAAGTAATTCAAACAAGAAGGAGAATCTTTCAGGAAAGGAGTCAGAGATTGTTCATGAAGTTCTTAAGGAGAAAATCACCAGAACTTGTCAGAACATGAAAATGCCTACTAAATTCACAGACTGTGAACTTTAACTAGATTTTGTAATTTTGTAATATAATTTTGATATAATATCATTTATCAAAAGGCGGGACAATGTTGCATTATTAATGTGATTAAAAGTGCCACCAATTTATTATCATTTTACATCTTGAATTAAATTGCTTTTGAGTGGCAACATTGTTGATATCTCTGTTTTGTTTTGGTGTGTTGTGAATCGGGAAATTCCCATTTCAAGTAAGCAGCAGTTAAGTTACGTTATTGAAATAATGAATGTTTTTCATCATTAAGATGTACAGATCATTTCATCATTATATTAAACTCTATATGTAAATAATCGCATTAATCAGTATGTATTTGTAAAGCAAAATAAATTGGATATTAAACGAAGCTGGATTTCAAGTCAAAACAGTTTTATCCAACAACCAGCTATTATGGTAGAAAAGTTTGTTGAAGTTAAAATATCTAAGTCTTGAGTAGAGATTATGCTGCTTGGGAGGAGGGGGTTGTAGGCTGAAATAAATAGAAATTCTTTATTCAAGCTTCTGTAGATAATTACTGCTGTGCATTCAATGGAATTTGTATTAGAAAGTTCAAAACTTGGGTGTTTAATATAATTTCAGATTATTATAATGGTGCCTTTACATCTATTATGAGTCCTATCTTTTCTTGTAGCATTATATAATCATGTATTTTTGTTTGTTTCATAGCCGGAGATGTGTTTCATTAACCAATCATATCATATATATAATATATTGATGCATAGTTAGTAATTTAATGTAGTTGTCTTCAAATTCCGTTATTGTTGAAATAGGATATAAAATAACAGCGATTTTAAATAGCTGTTGGTAGCTGCAATTAAGTTTTCTATCTGGTATGAGGCATTAAAAGTTGGGGCTTAAGTTTGGAAAATACTGTATAACAGCCATTCTGCCTTCTAATTTGTCCATTATGTTTTTAGATTCTTTAAACTTAGTGAAGAATTCTTTGATTTTAAATAGCTGAGTTTTTATTCAATCAAAGAATGAGATTTTCTAAATGCATGGCCACAGCAAGACCCATTTCTGCCATACGAGTCACTGTTTGAAATGTGCACAAGAACACTTTATTAAAAATTATCAAAAAGACAAGAATACTCCAAGAAATTGTATTCTTTGTGGTGGAGAACACACAGCCTAATATCTTGTATACCCATAATATCCAAAAACCACAAATAAGCAAGGAAAAAATCATTGAACTACCACCAAAAACAAATGAATATTTTTTGCCTTAAGTAAGATTCCTATTGCAGATTTAAGAAACACCGTATGGCAATCAAACAGAAATGACTCAAATAAAAAGAGTGAAGAACAGACTTAATCATTTACAGATTGGATAAAAATAATACTCTTTAAAGCTAAATACCTCTTTGAGAGATTAAAGCAATCAAAAAAATATAACGAAAAAAATTCAAATTGGAATGGAGTCCCTAGTACTTATCAGTAAATTTAAGAATGAATTCTAATCCTCACAGCAATTTTAATCACTATGGAAATGCAGGCGTCTTCAGTCATAATTTTTTTTAAAACAAATGGAATTAAAATATAGAATACAGAGCTTCACTACTTTCTCATAATCATAATATTGATATTATGCTCACCAACAAAACCCATCTCCTACGGCATGAAAAACTCAGTGTACAGGGATACAAAGTCCTACGCACTATGGACATGCAGGGATACAAAGTCCTATGCACAGACAAAAAGCACAATAGAGGAAGTGATACTACCATCAAGGACTGCATCAGGTACATCCTATATAAACTTAATGGGCCTCTTAGCCTTGAAGCTACAGCAGCCATGATTTTCAACAGACATGGTGATCCTTTTACTGTCATTTCATTCTATAGTTGTTCCCAAAACAGAATTACTGCCAAAGACTTGATACATTCAAGAGCAGCAACTACTCTGTGTTAATTTCTGGGGAATTTAATGCAAAACTTTGTACACAAAACAGTATTCAGAACGGATGCACAACAGATTACTATGCCATTAATAATGGTATAAATATAACTGGACTCACGAAGCCACTTTTGAAAATACATTTATAAATGTTACACAAATTGTGTATTATGATTAAATCATACTTTTAGTTTAAACTATAAATAAATGGTAATGAAAGCTTAAAAACCATACTTTGAATCAATGTCTTCTTCTAGCAGCTGACGAAGAAATTCACCATTTTCTGTTTCTCCAGTTATATGTGAAGACATTGTCAGATCCTATCAATATAAAGAATAATATACAGTTTATATTTTTTAAATAAATACATTATTGCTCTTGCTTTTTGTCACATAAGAGTCTGTAAATTTGTAGAAAGGATAAATCAGTTGTTCTCAACCTTTTCTTGTACTAAGCACCTCTTGCACAACTGCTAGACAATCATTTCCCTCTCCTTTCCAAAATTCAAAAAATACATATATATTTATTTAAATTCAGATTATTCTTTAATGTATTTCATAAATTAAACAAGAAAAGTATAAAAAATAGTGATAATACCAAAACTTGAATAAAAGTGTCTTTTTTATGTTCATAAACTAAAAATAAATACTTTACAGGTAAATAAAAATCTAACTGAATTCCCCTTCACCCCTATGATAAATAGTATTGTACATTTGAAAACAAAGCAAGTATTGTAATTAAGACTTCTTTATTAGATCTAAATACATCTTGATACCCATATATTATTATGTTGGTAGAAATACCGGCACAACTGACAAAAGATTTGTGAAATGTTTATAGTATTTATATGAATCCTTTCAGTTTTGGGGGAGCGATGAAATTAAAATCAATGCGACGGCATTGAAAAGAGCAAAGGCAAATGTTGAAAGAAAAATAAATAGCCTATTAACTAATGATCACCATGGCCAAAACCTTCATTTAAAAAGCTTAAACAATTATAAAAATAAATAAATAAATAAAAACGTTTAAGTATCAGGTGAATGCCAAATTTGGTGGTTTCTTTATTAAATAATGATTTCATTCCGATAACCTTACTTTCACTATTCATGCTCATGACTAGAGCATAATGCCAAAATTGTGCATTTAAAAATTTTTTTTAGCAGAAACAGATTGCTGTGTACATAGAAAGAATAACAGTGTAAAAAAAAATGACAAGGATTTGTTGAGAAATATAAGCACGCAATGCCGAGTTTGTGCAATTCTCCGATTTGTTTTCAGCAAAAACAGATTGCTGTGCTCATGGGGTGAACTTTTTTTTTTTTTTTAAATTTATCACAGAATTCTCATTCATCTCTTCACTAAAGTCACCAAGACTTTCAGGAAAATAAGCTAAATATGAATTTAGGAAGTGGATCTTTATGCTCATTAAATAGCCTAAATTTTTGTGCTTCTGCAGCCTATTCTCAACAATTGATTTAAAGTCCTTCTTATTGACCCATATCTTTCCATACATGTTGCTACATTGATCTTTCTTACTGCCACTTGGTTACACGTCTCTAAAGATTTCTCTATTTCCATTGTTTTTCAAAATTACCATCTTTGAGAAGCTTCCTAATGTCAGGACCAGGACGCCTATTCTACGATCACTGGATCCATCTACTACTCGAGCGAACAATATTGACTAAAAAAAAAAAAATGGTATGGACAGCCCTTTTCAAGTTAATTCTCTGCTCCTCAGTTGGTGAGTGGGTGGATCCATTTGACTTTATTGAAAGGGGACAAGTCTTCAAGAAGCTTCAGACCAATCACAGCACAGACGAGTAATGAAATTTATAGTGTGTGCTGCCTTAAGTTCTAAGAATATTCTCCCGTGTTATTTCACTAAGTCAGGCGATGCATTTGTAGCTTAAAAGAAATGGCACAAAAAAAGTATTATGACCAAAAATGCAACAGAATATGTTGCTGTGTTATGTGAAGGAAAATCTCGTTTTCTAAGGGGAAAGTTAACGCAGGAATTTAGGGCTAAGAAATAAAGAGAGATGCGAGATACCATGAAAGCAACGGTAAATAGATAACAGTGAATCAATTAAGCTTACTTAAAATCTTTTTAGAAATAAACAATTTTAGTCATTTAAATTTATAATATGATTATATGATTAATTTGCATTGCAATCTAATAGTAAACTAAGTTTTTATTTATTTATTTATTTTCCATGCTTACATTAAAACTGTGTTTTCACATAATTTATTTTACAGTTAATATTAGAAAAATATTTCTTTGAGTAAGAAATTAGAAAGAAAATAGTTTTCTTAATGTTTCTTCCTTTCTTTTATTTCCTGTTTCTATAAAAATTATTTCTTTCAGGAAAAGAAATAAAATTCATTCGTTATTACAGTATGGACGATTGCTGCTGCATTCAACTATAACACATGCATCAAAATGTTTTATTTTAAATAATTTATTCTATAATTAAGATGAAAGAAAATAATTTTTCAATATAAAATACATAACCAAAATTATAATAATCTATTCTGTATGTGTGATTAATTAGTATTGCAATTTTTGTCACACGTATATTAGTAATACTTTCTTTTAATATTACATTGCTGTTATTGTATTTCTTATATACATAAGAACTGCTAGTTTAAATATTCTTCCTTCTCAAAAGATTTTATTCTGTTAAAATAATCAAAAGGTAGTAATATTATTTTCACAATGGAAATACTAGTAAAAATAATCAATGATGGTCTCCTGCAGAAGTTGTTCTTCTCAAACCGGTGTTTTAACACTTTGACACATTAAATATAAAACTGTAATAGTAATCAATATCTCTTTTACAATGTAAAAATAAGAACTTTGCTATGAACAGTTTTTTTTTTTTTTTTTTTTTTTTTTTTTTTTGTGTGTTGTGTGTGTGTTGTTGTTAAGTTGTCAAAGAAACAATGATTTTTTAATACTAATAGATTACAAATGTACTGTTTCATGAACAAACCCTCAGTCTTATAGCATAATACAATAGTAATGCAGTATAATTCTACTAATAATCCCACCAGTGGCAGAGCGAGAGTCGCTAAATACAGGTAGTTCGTTGCGTGGTTCGAATCCCGCTAACGGGTTTGCCGCATCAGCGTTTTTGTGGCTTTCCTCATGTGTAACGTGCATACGATCCAGTTTCTCTCAGAAAGTCCTCCCTTAGAAACCTGTTTTAAATCGTAATAAAATTACACACACAGAGGAAAAAAAATTTATGTGTGCGTAATATTATTTTATATTACGCACAAAAAGGCATTTTTTTAACGTTTCGCATATTACCTTTATTTATTAAATATCATGTTCTTCACACTTAAACCATAAAATTCAATTCAACAGCAATATCACGTAATTTAAAAAGAACATATTTTTAGAATTTCCAATACACAGTTTCGCGTACTAGAGATGAAAATGTTTCTTCCCTCTTTTTTTTTTTTTTTTTTTTTTTTTTTTGTACAGTATTGTTATTGCTCACTTTGGAACCATTGAGTTTCTTAATCGAATATTCATAAATGCTTTACAAAATATGAAAACAGATGATAAAACAAACTCCCGGTTCCAAATTTGAGCTTCCAGATGCCTATATTAGGATGGAGGATTACATTATTCAAAATTTGATGGCTCTAGGTACCGCTGTTTTATCACATTGCGAGAAACATTAATACATTTATGCCAATTCTTCATTATTTAATTTCTTTAAATATAATATAGTGCGATAATATTTGATGGCAACAATTTGAAAAGTGAAATGCCATTTATCGTGAAACGCCACAAAATGGCAAAACGAAATTAATAGCCTTTCTGGGCTAAGGCCATTTGGGCTAAAAATTATTTTTTAAAAATATCACACTAGTTAGTAGTACTACTACTGAAAAAATATTATAAAGCTATTTTATAGTTTTATATATATATATATATATATATTATTTTAATTTTTATTTTACAGTAGTGTGAATTTCGCGTAATAACGAACGGTATTCCTTATTGTGTTCACAACATTGTTAAGGTATTCCACTATTATATTTTAAAATGAACTTATTTTTGCTGTACATAAATCAAGCAGACACTTCCCGGATGTCTATATTATTATTAACTGAAGAGGATTATGTGCTAGATAAATACTTATCTTCTACATTTTTAAACTACACAACATATATCTATAATTTCAGGAAAAGAATAAATAACCTTTCTTTCAGTAGAAATTGTGCTCTTGTTTTCTGAATGTGGCTCCAAATACTCTCTCAGCTCATCGCAAATTAAAATAACTATAGTACAAAGTCCGAAATCCGAACTGGTCGTGACTTCGACGATTTCGGATTGAGGATTTTTTCAGATAATAGATCATCAATTTAAATCTGGTCAAATGGCATGCAGAAATTATACAATTAAAAATATGAAATCATAATTTATGAAATAAAGAACAATTATGATCTAAAGGGTATCAAAACTTACAAAAAAAATTATGAAAAGAAGATGGATAACATGAACTTGAAAAATGCATAATATAATAAAAGCTATCGCTGTATACTGAAAATTAGTGTTATCACAACACATAGAACTGTTTCAGCACAGCCTGACAACATATAAATGTTAATTCAGTTGATGAGTTAGATGGTGATAATACCACTTCACTTAACAAATCCAATATTCTACAAGATGTTGCAAAACCTGGTGTTAGTTTTGAGAAGTTTATTAGTGCAGATGGCGATGTTGCCATGTGTGCTGCAATGATATCTGATATACAGTACAAAGTCCAAGATCCGGACTCGTCAGAACTTTGGCGATTCCGGATTTTTACGGATATTAGATCATCAATTTAAATCTAGTAAGATGGCCTGCAGAAATTATGCAATTAAAAATATTAAACCGCAACTTATGAAATAACGAGCATTTATGATCTAAAGGGTATCAAAATTTACAAAAAAAAAAGCTCAATATTTATTTGTTTACTTTATTAAACATTTTTGTTCCAATGTAAGTTGCTTAAGTTGCTTCATTTTTTTGTTCTAATACTTTCTTTTTCATTTTGTAAAAAGATATAATTTCTTGTTCAGTTACAAACTTCCACTGTTCAAGTCCAGTAATTTTTGTGTCGAGAATACCGCCCAATTTGTCAATCGAATTTCTTTCATTTTCATTAACCTCTCTGTCACCCTAAATGTCTTCTCTAAATTCTGCTACCGCTTCTGGGTTTATGCGAGTAACATAGCAGTTATTCTTAATTAAAATAACACTAAATGTAATCTTTTGGCCTATGAGTTGCATTAACAAAATCTATTTTTAGTATAT